CACTGCTGCCACAGCTCAGCTTGGGCAGGCAAGTCCAGAGCAGGTATAGGGTGGGCTGGAGCAGGACTGTGTATATAGGGCCTTGCCAGTCCCTGCCAGTACCGGGGGTTGGGGTCATTGGCAGCTGCAACCAGAAGGAGCTAGTGCCACATGCACTGCCTAGAAAGGCAGTCCAGCTGCAGGACCACCCCAGCCCCGCTGTGTGTCTGGGGAGCAGCAGGATGCGCCACAGGCTGGACGGTGCCTGGTCCAGATGGAACCAACGGACCTGCCACAGGCTGGACAAAAAGGCCATATTTTGCCCACCCCTGTTCTAGAAGATGCACTTTAGCTGAACCAGAAGTTGTGGGACTGATGGACTTGTATCAGTAGTTCCTCCATGGAGGAGATATATATAAAAAAGACAGGTCACCATAATGGTCCAGTCTGGCCTAAAATCTAAATTTTTAACTCCAGGTGGGATGTCTGATCTCCTTTACTATGTAGTAAAGCCTTATGGTATTGTTCTTGGAAAACTTAACCATGTTTTTTGAATGTATGAGCCTCACATTTGGCACTAAATTAGTTTTCTATTTATGTGACTCGCTGAACACTCTCACTAGGGCTGTGTGAAGCTTCAGGTGCTGATTTGATTCAGAGGAGATTTGACCCGATTTTTTGGTGGCCGAGTCTCTGGATCGAATCAGGGGTCCAGTCAAAAGGTCCGAATCAATTTGAAGCTCTCTGATTTGATTCAGAGAGCTTCGGCGATTCGGGCTTTCCCCATTGGCTGCAGCAGGGAGTTGGACCCAGACTCCATGCTGGTAAGTAGGAGGCGGGGGAGTGGGGAGGGAACCATGGGGGGACCCCCACCAGGCCCCATCCCCTGCCTGTTCCCTCAGCACCTCCAAGCACCCCCTAACCCCTACCCACCCCAGCTCCCAGTTGTTTAAAAAAAAGCCCCTACTCACTGGCTGCTGCTGGGCAGGTGGGGGCATAGATCCCCATGCCATGTGGGGGGCTCTGTCACAAGCCCCCCGACCCCTGCCTGCTCTCCCAGCCCCACCATGGCTGTCCCAGCTCCCCAGCCTTTTAAAAAAATAAATAAATAAAAAAGCCCCAACTCACTGTCTGCTGCAGTGGGTCTGGGCTTCTGTGGGCTCTTAACAGAGCCCCCTGACAGTGGAGGGCAGTGGGGATCACTCCCCCCTGCCTGGCAGGAGCCAGTGAGTGGGTTGTTTTTTTTGGTTTTTTTTAAGGCTGGGAGCTGGGGTGGGTGGAGCAGCCATGAGGGGGCTGGAAGAGAGGGCAGGGGTCAGGGGACTTGTGACAGAACCCCCCCACGTGGTATGGAGCAGT